AAAAAAAAAAAAAAAAAAAAAAAAAAAAAACCCATCCCAGGCATAAAAATTTCTCCTTAAATATTAGTTATCTGCAGAAGTGAGTCCTTTAAAAAGAAATATAATTATATATCAGGAACACACTTGGCACAATTAACAGCAGTTCATTAATAGCTTTCTGTACTAGTCTGTCTTCAGTTGCCTCCATTTGTTTCAAAAATGCCTTTTCACAGGTGGTTCAATTCAAACAGTTATTATCATTTTGGGGAGGGGGGCCGCACCATGAGGCCTGTGGGATCTTAGCTCCCTGACAAGGGATTGGACCCAGGCCTTGGCAGTGAAAGCACCAAATCCTAATCACTGGACCACCAGAGAATTCCCAGACAGTTATTATTTTTAAAATCTCTCTTGTGTCTATAGTTTACCCCTTTCATTCTGTATTTTTATCTTTTTGCGTCTTTTCTCCTTTTCTTGATTAGTCTTGCCAGAGGTCCACCAGCTTTGGTTCTGTTAATCTTCTCTTATTTTCCACGGCTGCTAATCTCTTTTATTTTTGCAGTTATCTTCATTAATTCCTTCCTTATTTGGGGGGTTTGTTCTATTACGTTTTTCCCATCTTCTTCAGTTTACTACCATCTCAGTATTAAAGCTATAATTTCCCTCTAAGAACCCTTTAGCTGTGTTTCACAAATTTTGACCAGTGGTATTTTTATTATCATTCAGTTTTACAGATTTCTTAATTTCCTCTATGATTTCTTATTTAAGCCACAGTTCTTTTGTTGTTGTTGTTGCTGTAATATGTTCGTTTCCCAAGGTATGAGGGGTTTTTTTTTCAGGATTTTTTTCTTTAACTTTGTGGCGTGTGTCTTTTGTTACTGATTTATAACTTCATCCCATTGTGGTTGAAGATACTTTGTAGGATAACTGTCTTTTCAGATCTCTTGAGACTGGTTTTGTGGTCTCACATGTGGTCTGTCCTAGAGAACGTTCCATGTGCACTTTAGAAGGACGTGTGGCTTTGTAGCCTGAGATCTTGGTGTGTGTGATATCCATCCTCCAGAGGCCCCCAGGGCTACTTCTCTGGCCCAGTATGGGGTTGGCTTTCATGCATGTTCTGTGTGTGTGCTAAGGTAGTGTTTGTTCGTTCTTGGTGTGCTGCGTGGGGCGCAGGCATGTTAATTGTGAGGTTTCCTTTTTGCAGCGTCCCCACCAATGTGGAGCCACCGGAACAGCTGGGCTCAACACTGAAGTTTCGCTCTAGCCTGGACAGCGACCCCATGTCCGGGTAAATAAAACCTGCAGTCTGGGTACATCTTCCTGGAAGAGGTGACAAGGGGGCTCAGGAGGGCTGTGGGGACTGGGATGGCACAGAGTCCTTGGGCTAGAGCCTCAGGGAAGCTGTCACCATATCTGACCTCCAGGACCTTTGATCCTTGTGTTGGGTGTCTTCATCATTGTGCCAGGGATGGGGAAGACTGTGGTTGGGGGTTCACGATGGAAAGGCCAGGTGTGGGTGTTCATATTGACCTAGGTGATGGTGTGGGCACAGGTGACCTATGGATGTAGGTGATGGGGAGGGGGTGACAGTGATGGGGATGATAGTGGCAAAAGGTGATAGTGATGCGGCAGTGGTGGCAGGGATGAGATGATGGGGGCTACAATGCTGAGTGTGTGGTGATGGTACAGTGGTGGTGCTGGGTGCAGTGGTGGTGAGGAGAGGCCCTGACAATAACCACGACCCACAAACCCTGACACAGAGACGGTGCATCATCAGTTATCCCGGCATCTTTACCCCACAATAATCACCCCATCATTCTGCACCCCGCACCACCATTGCCCGCATCACTGTCACCACTGCCACCATTACCCCAACACCAGTACCCACCACCAGCATCCCTATCACATCTGGCTTCCTGGTCCGGGATAGGGTAATGGTAGATGATGGTGGGTGTGTGGTAATGGGGGAGTAGTGCGTGTTGATGGTGTAGAGGCTGATGGTAATGGGGGCTATGGTGGGGCTATGTAATGGGGTGACAGGCAGGTGTATGATGGTAGGAGGTGATGGTGGCGATGGGGGACAGTGACAGGGAGATGTGATAAGGATGCTGGTGGTGGGTATTGGTGTTGGGGTAATGGTGGCAGTGGTGAAAGTGATGGGGGCAGTGGTGGTGCAGGGTGCATAGTGATGGGGTGATTATTGTGTAGTAAAGATGCCGGAATAACTGATGATGCAGTCTGTGTCAGGGTTTGTGGGTCATGGTTATTGTCAGGGCCTTCCCTTCAGGGGGCTGGGGAATACCCCAGTTGCCCAAACTCCAGTCCCCTTGGCCAGGTTCCTGCGCTGTCTTGTTGCCACCGTGACGGGTGTTGTGATGCACATTTCGCGTGGATGGAATGGGCGTGCAGCTGCTTGTATGTTTTCCTGGCAGAGTCTATTCCACGTGCCATCTGCCCTCTACCTCGGTGGCTCTAGAAGCCCCTCTGAGAAGGTCCACCTAGGCCTGGTTTCCCCTTTGGAGGAAGAGACTTTGGGCTCTGGGCCTGTGTAGTGGGGTCCAGGTTCTTGTCCTGTCCCATCTTGCCCTGTGGGCCTGGTTGAGTGTGGGCCTCTTTGGCTGCAGAGGAATTGGGGCAGGGCTCCTGTGAGTGGGGGAGGGGAAGAGGTGCTGCTTTGCTCCAAGGCAACCGTGGCTGGGCCTCCTCCCTCTGTTCTGCCCGCTGATCCTGTTCCCTATGTTGGTCAGAGACTGAGACCTGGAAGCGCCACTCCCTCTACATGCAGGGAGCACCCCGTTGCTGAGGCCTGAGGCTGTGGGCTTTCAGTTGGCCCCACATGGGGGTCTGATGTCCAGTCAGTGTGGGCCTCGTCCTGGGCAGGCACCATGGAGGGCTCTGGGCAGTGCTGGGGTCTGAATGGTGTTTTAGGATGAAGACCACTCTGGCTGCTCCCGGGAGAATGTCAGCAGCTGGCGGGGAGCCTGGACCATGGCTTCCTGGTCCAGGTGTTGTAGGCCAGAGAGAGGCTGGGCTGGCGGGGTGAGGTGAGGTGAGGCTGCCTGCTAGGAAGGTTGCCATGGAAGGGGCCGCGGTGTGGTGTCCTGCTCTCTGCCCTGCATGGGGGGATACAGGACAGAGGAGGAGTGGGTTTCTGGTGAAGAGCTCGGATTTGGGTGGGATTGAGTGTGTTGAGGGTCAGCTGCATGAGGAGCTGGAGAGGGTTCAGAGAGGGGGAAGGAACGTGGAAGGTGGCCTGGTTTGTGAGTGAGTACTGAGCACTGTGTGAGAAATGTGGGTTCCGCACCGCAGAACAAGGTCCCCCAGGAGGCAGAGGAGAAGTGGCTTCCCAGGGCCAGCTCAGGAGCATCTCCCCCCACCTCCTGCAGGTGTGGAGGTGTGAGTGCCCTGCTGCCTCCCCACCAGGCCATCTTGCCCATCTGCTAGGAGTGCAGATGCTGCTCAGCCCCCTTGGGCCCCCACCCCATCCTGCCCCATCTCTCCTCTGCTTCTGAGCAGAGCCCCAGCGTGGCGCACAGCACCTGCCTTACAAAGGTTTAGGGCTCCAGGAGCAGGTGCTGGGAGGGTGGAGGGATGGGATCATCAGTGACATGTCTCCTGTGGATGCCTCCAGGTGGTTGCCCCCCTGGGCCCCAAGGAGACATCCTCTCGGGTGAGCATTCGTGTGATGCCCCCTTGGCCAAGGGCAGTGTTGTTTGTCCATTGGAGCATTGGTTCCTTGGTGCAGTCCAGCCCTGGTTGGAAGCTCGGGGGTCGCTCGACAGGGGAAGGACCCTATGTGCTGAGGGGGCCTGTGCCAGCTCTGCCCCCTCCCCCCCCTCCGACCCCTCCCCCTTCATTCTTGGACTTCACCC